ACGGACAGGACAGCCATGGAAAGGGACAAGGACGCAGCTCGCTCGCGCGACTCGACTTGAGACGACTGAGTCGACTGTTTATGGATAGTAAATGCACCGTGTCATGGGTCCTTAAACGTCTTAATTGCCCGCGTATCCTTCGCCAGAGCAGCGCAATTGGTTTCCAAGGCGGAAATATTATTGGCACATCATAAAACTATAAAACAGCCCGCAGGGGGCCACACACAAATATATCCTTCGCGCTGCCCCGTTCAGCCCCGTCTAGTCCTAGACGATCCATTGCCATCAGCGAATTCGACGAATTGCGATCGTCGCGCGCGCGCGACTCTGATTCCCCGGCGTACGACTCGTCAATATCCTACGCCGAACTCCACGGTGTCCTCTGTCCAGATCATTGTTAATGGACACTATCCTTATTAGCTGCTGATCCCTGATCCCATGAAGGAGAATAGCTATGGCTATGGACTTGCATAGAGGAAATATTTATTACTGAAAATAACTTTAACGTTAACATAAACTATGATCAGATATGCAAAATAATCATTGACTATATATGCCATTTCCACTAACCGAAATGTTTAAATGTGTTTAAATTCAGGGAAACTTCGGCACAAAAATAGTACCCCAGAGTTCCACTAAATCTGAAGCGATTTTATTAAGAAATATCTTTCTATGCCCTTCTATAGAAGTATATAAATTAATCTTTGAAAACTATATAAAAAGCTATATAAATCATTAAATGAAGACTTATTTTTCAATTACAAAATGGCATCCACCATCAGGAAACTCCTCCTACCATTAGGAATCCCTCCTGAAATCGAAATACTTGTACGTATCGACAGACACTTGTCTCTATTTCCCTCAACCGTAATTGCGATCTAAAAAACCATCAATCTGAACGAGCCCTGTTGGATCGGCTGACACGGAAGGTGTTAACAAGGCCCTCACAGAGTGTGGAAAGTCGGAGTCGGACAATTCCACAATTTATATCTCAGGGCCATAAACAGTCCGGACAAAGTCAATGCATAATTTCCCATTTCATTCAGCTTACGAGGTCATCATGGGCCCAACAATGCGAATAAGTGTGACAGGAGCAATTATTGCCTGATCCTGATGTGATGTCAACACAAATAGGAGAAGCAGCGGCAGAGGCAGAGTAGATGTTGCTGAGAGAACAGAACAGAAGCCAAGGACGAAGGCGACGCGTGACGCATTGGGAAAATATTTGTACAAAAACATTGAGGAAACACTGAAAAGGGGCACACAGCATCAGAGCAGCCTTGACTTCGATTGGTGCCGACTATCGACTGTCGACTGTCGTGACTGCCCAAGGCCGGAACGTTTGAGGTGACCTCGAGAGGAGTCTTGTCTGAGTCTGTGGGACCAGGCTCTTGAACCAAGGTCAGTGAAAATGTCCTGCACTGTCCTGTCCTACCATTAAGCATTCTCATTCGAATGAGCCATGGCAAATGATTGGCAGCCGCGCTGAGTGAGCAGTAGGAGTAGCCGAAAGCTGAAAATTACTTCATCGCTGCAGGTCTCCACCATCTGGCAGATTGATTCCTCAGCAGAGAGAGAGGGAGAGAGAGTTAACGACTTGGATCTGTGCACTTTAATGGCTAAATCAAACAAATCGCATAACGCACACGGAAAATTTTGAATAATTCCCGAACGTTTCTCACTAATTAGCCGCCGATTGAGGCAATCAAATTGATTGCACTCCACCGACCGATGCCCGATGCCCGATCCATCGATGATGCTCCAAAGAAAACCTCACGCTGTGCCCCCCCTCTCTGGGCGATACTCTCTCGCGTTAGACGGATTGACGCTGATACTATATATAGAGATATATCGGAATCGTAGGGGAATTTACTCGAACACCACTCGAAGTTGTTTGTTTTGTTTGTTGATAATTTTTCTCGGCCCTTTACCATTTTATACGCAGCGGGCAGTCGACTGTTTCACTCTGATAATGAGTGTCGATCTAGCCGATCACCCCACTCTCTGTTCTGCCTCTTGGCTGCCGCACAATTAGCATTTGGGATCGGCGTAATGAGCAATACTATCAGACGATTCCCACCAGGAGGAGGAGTGGGGTCAGCAGCGACTTCAAAGACAAACCCCCAGCGTGTGACCATCGGCAGATCCACACACAACCCAAGGAAAACAAACAATGCTTTGGAGTAGGAACTGAAACTGGAGTATCCCAGTGGAGTATATCTTATGTAATGCCTAAACTCTGGGGCATCCATTTCCATGGGGAAATCTTTTGAAGTCCCAAATATTGATGGGGTCTCAAGCAGCAGGTTCTGCAATTGATAATCCAATTCAACGAACTATAAACTGTTATTACAGTGGAAGCTGCACGATTGTAATTGGGACTTTGGTTTAGTTTTAGTCACTTAGGAATGGGTAAATATTTCCGAAGAGTTCCTGTTTCCTACAGCAATTTTTGTGGCAGAATCATTGTGGAAAATGTGTATTCCGCAACTGATTTCAATCTGCATTTTGGTTCAATTTATCTTCTATCCACTAATGATTCTGGCTTGACCAAAAGCAGCAGCTGATGAAGCTAAATGATGATGATGCCGGAGGAGAGATTGGGACTGTGAAAATGCTGGGATGTCGCTGGGAATTAACACACTCGCCTCCTCCAGGCGCGTGCCTGGTTCTACCTTCCCGTGCCGTCCCGTGCATTGATCAATAATATCTGACCGACCCACTGGCTGTGTGGCTGTCTGTCTGGGCGCGGGCTACCCTCATGGAAGTGCCAAAAATGTGCAACGCCGTCTGCGGAAGGAAGGAAGGAAGGAGGAACAGGGAACCAGGGGACCAGGGAGAGCGTGGTCCAGGCACAGGGACCGGGACATACTGCAGCCACTCCGACACAATGGGATGGTCCCGATTCACTGTCAAGGTAATTTATTAATTCGACAATAAAAACGCACGAATTCTTGGGTTGAGATACAAGTCCCCGCGCTGGGGTTCGGCTTCGGGCCTCGTGCTTCGGGCTTGGGGTGTGTTGTGGTCGGACACTCGCATGTGGGCCTTACAACTCAATTAAAGTTGCCTTGGTCCTGGTCCTGGTCCTGGTCCTGCTGTATTTCTTCTGGCGAGTATTTTATGGCCATGTGTGTTGGGTTAGGATTAGGGTAAGGGTTAATCTGTGCTGTTGAGCGAATGGCAGCCAATCAGCCGTAAGTGAGAAAGTTAAGTGGCCTCCGAGCAGTAAAATAAATGCTCAATTAAATTTAATAAAAGTTAGACACAGACTTGGGGGGGAATAGTATATGATTTATGGCTAATAGAAAGACTAGAAAACATATAAGATGAATGAAATAGTTGGAGTTGGAAATTCAGTGACTAGAATATTGATTCCTTGGAATATAGATTATTGTCATGTCGTTGCCTAGAGCTCTTCATTTTACAAAAATCTTGGCCCTCTTTGTCACAATTCCATTCAAGAATTACCCTCTCCCACTCTATATAGAGCATTGCAGTGTTAAATCTACTCTAAAACCAGAAACCAAGCTCATATCCGTTACCAATAGAGCAATCACAGAACAGTGCGAGGAGAGTGGGCTGCTCGGGGTCCGATTCCTCTACTGTCAAACTGAAAAACGCCATAAATTTTGTCCAACAATGGAAGCTGTCGCAATGCACATGGGGGATGGGATACAGAACAGAATACAGAGCGAATACGAGTGGTGGGGGTTCTATTCGCACATGCACCAAAACTGCACACATATGTCAGGACTACTACTATCGGCGATATATCCAGTCCCGTCCTAGGGGTTGGAGAACGGGGGTGGCTGCCTGCCACGTAAGCCGATCAGAAAGTCGTGTAAACACAAAAAGTAGGCGAGAATCGCTTGCTGTATCTATGGGTTATTGTTTTTTTTAGCAGTCAATTTAGTTGAGCGGCTTTTGGGTCGACTTGCGAGGGCTATGCAAATACAAGTGCTTCAAAATGGGAGGAGAGGAGTGCGATGCGGAGGGAGAGGCAGTTCCGGCACTTGCTTGGCCACGAGAACAAACAAAAAGCGCAAACACGCGACCCCTGGCCAAGGAGCACGCGCAATCCTCATCCGCAGTCCTGGCGTAAGGATAAACGTAATGTTATCCTTTTGGCAGCCCATTCCAGGACGAGGCCCGAGGAATCGATGCCGAATCGATGCGTGGATTCCGAGAACAACTGGCATCAGCTTCCCGGTTCAGAGCTCCGCGCTATGGAAAAAATCCAGAGAAATTTTTACGAAGGGCCAGAACGAACCATAAATCGGGTCTAAGGGAAAAAGCCCATTGTTCGGACAGAGTTTCAGCAACACGGTTTACAGTTCCTTTTTATGTCTTTATGATTATTGCAATTAGAGAGAGGAATGCGAAAGCAGCAGCAGCAGCATCAGCAGCAGCCGCCGTCCCGCTCGCCCACCCATCCATCCATCCTCATCTGCCTCATCTACCTATCGACGGCTGTAATTACGAGACAAGGTCCTGCGCACGACAAGCGTCTCAAGGCTCTCAAGGCTGGAACCGATCGGATCTCTGGAGGGGAAATGCTCTCTCGGCTGTCGGCTCTCGTCGCTCGGTCCGGATAAGTTTTTGAACGCTTCGCGATGATAATGGGCGCGATGGGTAGGTAATAAGCAGCACAGCAGGTAGGCTCCTCAGCGGATAACTTGCACTCCCGAACGGATAAACTCTGCTCTGTACTGCTACCCCTCTGTCGCAGCCATAAACGCCGGCAAGGACACGGCCCAGTGAGGCCGAGGCCGGGGAGGGGTAGTTCTCGGGCCCAGCATGTGTCAAAGTGTCATGCGCAGGGATATTTATGCGCTATGACGACGAGCGTGTGCCGGGCATCAGTGGAAGCTGAGTTCAGTTCAGTTTGCTATATTAGGCAGGATCTGTGGCAGGAGTAGCTCATTCGCAAACGCATCAGCGTCGCGCACACATCGCACTCTCTCAGAGCAGAAGAACCAGAACAGAGTCCACCAGCCATGGCCACCACCAACAGTCAGAGCCACTACTACGCCGATAACATGTACAACATGTATCACCATCACACCGCCCACAGCCTGCCGCCCACGTACTATGACAACAGCTACTACCAGAGTGCCACACAGAGTACTGCCAGCCAGTGGCAGCCATCGCCAGCCGGCTATCAGGGCAACTACGGAGCAGCCTATGGAGTCCAGGAGAGCTACTCGGACAGTTGCTACTACGCCCAGAGCAGCTACAGTCCCATAGATGCCACAGTTCCACAGATTCCAGCGGTGCCTGCGATGCCCGCATCCCAGCCTGAGCCCATCCTTGCCGCCTCTCCCGTGAAGACACTGAAGCGCAAGGCCGAAGATGCTGCCGCTGTCATCGCCGCCGTCGAGGAGCGACCCAGCACACTCCGTGCTCTGCTGACGAATCCCGTAAAGAAGCTAAAGTACACACCCGACTACTTCTACACCACCTTCGAGACGGTGAAGAAGAGCCCAGCCACAGTGCCAGCGCAGATTAAGGCCAGCTCCAGTCCCGCTCCCAGCTACGAGCAGGAGTACGTGGCTGCACCCACTCCCAGCGCCTCCGAGGATGTCGACTATCTCGATGTCTACTCGCCACAGTCCCAAAAGAATCACAAGAATGGCGAATATGTGGCGGGCACACCACCACCACTAGCCTCTACACCAGCCACGCCCACGTCCATAGTGGAGGGCATCAGCACGCCACCCCAATCGCCCGGAGTCAAGTCCGGCACGGCATCGAATGTCAGTCATGAGATCAATCATCGAATTGTGACAGCTGCCAATAGCGGAGTCGCCGCCGATTTCAATTGGTCGCACATCGAAGAGAGCCTCGCATCAGGTAGGCATCGTTCTGAGCCACATTTTAGCACAATCCATCCCCCATTGAATCGTCGAAGGAATCGTTGACTAACCAAATTTGCATCTTTTTTGTATCCTTCAGATTGCAAAGACTCGAAACGCACTCGCCAGACCTACACCCGCTACCAGACCTTGGAGCTGGAGAAGGAGTTCCACTTCAATCGGTACATCACGCGGCGGCGTCGCGTCGACATTGCCAATGCCTTGAGCCTGAGCGAGCGACAGATCAAGATCTGGTTCCAGAACCGACGCATGAAGTCCAAGAAGGATCGCACTCTGGAGGGCTCACCCGAGCACTGCAGCACGTCCTATGGTGCTCTGCTGGCACCTCTAGAAACCGCCACCTCCGCCGCCGTAGCCCAGCCGCAGTCGATGCCCTACCATGCCACCGCTCCGTATCCCGCTTATTTGTCCAGCAGCCAACAATTTGGTCACGGACACGGCCAGGGCTATGGCCTGTCCCTCAATGATTACCCGCAGCAGCAGCAGCAGTACGAGCAGCAGTACGTCACACCGCAATATCATCAACAGACCCAGCAGCAGTGCAGTGTCAGTGCCTACCAGCACCAGCACCACCAACAGCAGGAGCTGACCGCCTCCAACCGGGCCCAGGCCCAGGGCCTGTACCATCACCTGCCCTAGGCGACCCACAAGACGCACACACACACACATCTATCTATCTGCCACAGAGCGGAACCGAGACGCACACACAAGCACTTCTCTCGACCATTTGCCGGTGACACGCAAATGCCGAAGCCGAGACCGAAGCTGCAACCGCGCTGCAAGGCAGCGACACAGCGCGCACACAGAGGAGAGCGCACTCCCTACGGTGCCCATCATTCGGGCCCAGGACGAGTGCGCTGTGCGCCTGCGCGGGGCAGGGGCAGGGATACTGATGACTACAGAGGCTCCTTGCCGGGCTGCTGCGAGCCGAACCCAGTGGCTGGCCATGATGGGTTCTCAGCGATCGATTATCTGCGGCCAAACACACAACCAACCGATGATAATGATTCAAGAACTTGGAGACTGACACACACACCACACACATGTTTTCTGTTAAGCGAAAGTGCTTTTCTGTACAGTAGTATACTCCTAGTTGTAGTTTTAAGTCCCTTAGCAATATTAATATTTATTTAAATATATATTTTTCGGAAATAATCGAATTTACAAGAGAACAAAACAAACACTTTGAATTTTTATTACAATGAAAAGGTCGAGGGATTTTGGGGGGGCACAAGAAGGCTATCGCTTATGGGAAAAGAAAATCTAAAAGAAAATCTTCCCGAAACCAGAGATGATATATTACCAAAAATATTATAGTTAGAGATAGACGATTGAAAACCTATCGAATAGGTGTCTGTGGATTCTATTATCATTTCACCTCCAAAAGTAGGAAATATAACCAAAGATATATAGAAAGATAAACATCGGTACTGATACACAGATGAATTCATTTAGAGTTCTATGTCCTCTCTGACTTTGATCACATCCTCGTTTGATCCTTGCAACCCCCCAACAAATTCTATGCCCAATAAATACCAAAAACAAACGCTTCGATTTAAGCACGAATCGTGCAAATTCGAGCAGCTGCATTTTCTTGCTCGAGCATCGCCCCTTCCATGGTCTTTCAGATTTTCTATAAAATTCACTCTTTTTGGCTAGAGGAAAATGTCACATTTTGGTCGGGAAAACGGGGTCTATCTACCACCGCATCCCCCCCGGTACGACCGGCAGCCCTTCGCTGTTTGCCCATCTATTGAAGTGAGACATTGATTGGTCATTTTTCATTGCACACCCATGACAGTTATGGGTAACGCAACGGAGAGTCAGATACAGATACAAAGAAAGAGGCAGAGGCACAGTCAAAGGAGCCATGTGCACGCGCATTTTCCTGGGGCATCATTTATACGACTCATTAGATAAGAGTGGACAGTGTGGCACAGGATAGAGGCCAGAGCAGGGAAACACCATCTGTGGGTTCCAAAGGCAGAAACTAAAGTTAGGTGCGAAATGGATTTCGATTGAGGTTAAATAAATTTGTTGAGAGGGTTGTGAACTTTTAACTGAGGTGGAGGGGAATACAGCTATGAGTTAAGACTTTAAACTTCTATTTTACAAATATCATAATTCTCGATATTATAATAATATTTCTGACTGTTGAAGGCTGTCTTTTAATCGTCTTAGCCTTTTCCTACACAACTGTAGCCCCTCTTTTAAATATATGAAAATCCTAAATGAAATTCCACTGAATTTCTAAGTCAAAGGATTCTTCTTTCCTTCAAAAGCCTTTCCCACTAATCTCTGGTCATTGCTAACTCTATACCTACATCTCTAGCTAACATTAAGCAAGAATATTTCTCACAAAAGACTTTACGATATTTCTAAGAGTAAATTTTCCTTTCGTTAAGAGTCAAAAATGTTTCCTGTAAAGGAGTAGTAAAAGATTTACGTGTAAATTGCGAAAGAGTTACGTTAACTCTTCTAACGTCCTTCCGCGAATCGAAGCCTTTTTCGACCGTTTTTTATCCTTTTTATTCGCATTTCGCTTTATTGGAAAGTGGAAGGACGCTCTCAACCCGCAGGCGAGTCAGAGATTCGCGGAAAGTGTCTTTGTGGGCGGAATCGTCTGCAGACGGGGAATGAGTCAAGGCTGCAAAGTCAATCCTTTAGCGTAATCCTTTAAATAGCCAAAATATAGCCCGCCTTTGTCAACACAGTCCACACAGAGCCGAACTCTCTCCCTCTCGCAGAATTCGCATTCGCGAATAGGCGTTCTATTGTGTCCACTTAGCCGGACACGGTACCTGCCTCCTTAACCCGGCCCATACCCCTACCCTTGCCCTTTGGCCTCAACCATAACGATCGTAAACTTATCCTTTCCCAAACACGAGCAGAGCTACTCAGATACTTCTGGTATATGTACCTCCTTAAGCTGGCGAAGGAGTTACAAAGTCATAAAAACAAAACACCTTTGTCCGCGCTGCATTGTCGGTTGGCGAATTATCCTTTCTGTCGCCGCTGCCGTATCCTTAATCCGCACCATGTTTATAGCCATTCGAGAGAGAGACAGAAATATAGAGAGAGATTCGCAAATTACTCTTCGACCAAGGCCCTGGCCCAGACGAAAGGGGAAGGGAACGGCATAGAAGGGTATAGCAGGGCTGAAACAGGGCTTCGGCTTCGTAAGCCTTTAGCTGGAAGGGATTACATTACATTATCCTTATGTTAAAGATAAACACCGGAGAACTTAAGCCAAAACATTGGATCAAAGCGTGATATTCGAATTAACTCGAATTCGGAGGAGACCTGAAGGAAGTTTCCATTCTTTGACGCTGAATATGGAGGATCTGGAAGGACTAACTGCCACTTCTGGAAAATTTATTACAACATCGAATGGAGAACATTTAATAAAGTTTCCTGTGTGAAAATATCATTCCTGTCATAACATAACCACTGATGAAAATATAATCATAATGATACCCATCGGAAATCGGCAAGTCATCATAGAGGTCAGCACTTCTGTTGTCGCCGCGCCCTTTGTTGTGATGTAGCCACTTCTGGCTATATATTTATGGCGCTCAAAAAGCAATTAATTGTGACCCAAATCAACAGTTTCCGAATGGCTGGCAGCAGCACCACCACCACACGGGCCCTGATCTAATAGCCCGGCAAATGCCACCGATCTCCATCGACCAAGACGTGGCGCATCGAGCATTGGGCTATTGCTATGATACGCTATGATACGCCAAGATATGGTATGTGGCTCGGTATGCTGGATGAGTTATGGCGCCACAGCGGTCAGATGTCGCCTTTAAATGCCTTATTTCTATGCATAAACCTTGCTGTTGGTTGTACTTTCCATGAACCCCGATGAAATCAGCGCCAAAACATAACCTGATCATCTACTAGTGGCGGCTAGATCAGTGCTGGGCCGAACCGAACCCTGCCCCGACCAGAGGTTAACATCAATATGTTAATGTGCCTCCGACACCGCCACCGCCACCGCCACCGCCACCGCCGCCACTGAGAACCACCGAAAAGGCATCCCATACTATACCATCCTCATGTGAGGCTGTGGGGATTTATGAGTCCAGCGAATGCTTTATGGCGTGTCGCTTTGACTAATTTATCTGCAAAAGGCGACGGCGCTGGCCACGAATTTTATTGTTAATTTATGATTAAGCTGATTATGCCTGAATCGGGTTTGTTTTCTTTTTTTTTTTGGTATCTGGGTCTCTTGGCTTTCGTATACTCGTATCTTTTTTTCAGTAAGGTCTAACAAAGGGAACCGAATTATTGCCAATCCCAAAAAATATCATACTAAAAATAACCAAACCAATCGATTTCTTGTATGCAAATTATGTTATATTTTTATCTGAATTAAGGAGCTGCTAAATCTCGTCTTGGTTTTGGCTAATCAACTCTTAAATCTCTTCAGAGACTTGTTTTGATAATCAACTCACTTGAAAATCTCTTGAAATCTAGAAGGAAATATGTAAATTGTATCTTGAAGATACAATGTTTTGAATTATTGTTGTTGCGGGACAAGCAGCTAATGAAAAAATATATATTTCGTTATTCTGAAAATGAGAGCGAAATGCGAAAGAATCTGTGGTCGGTTTGGTTTAAATGGGCCGTAAATGATAATTTTAATTTTTAATCAAACATATGTACGGCCAGAACGGAACAGAGGAGACCCGACCACAGCGACAGAGCCAGAAGGAACGGCATCCACTGCGGAATTTTGTGTCAAAGAGACCGCCAAAAACCGCCATGTGAGGAGGAGGCATCCACGGACGACACACAAAACGTTGCACCGCTCGACGTAGCACATCTTGAGTGGCGTGGCTCTATGTGCTGCTGCTTCTGCCACCGCATCTGCCACTGCACTGTACTGCTGTGTTCACGGTCATGGGATAGCCATACTTGCTGCAAAGAGTATCTCATGATTCCATTATTGTATTTATGGATTAAGTTTAAAATTGGGAACACTCTGAACATTCAGTCAGACTCATGCATCTTTCTCCACTGATGATGCAGGAGGCTGCGTCCTTTTGGAAAATTTCTGCTTTGTTTATATGAAACGAGAAAAGTTCCTTAATGTCATTTTAAGCGAACTCTTCTGGAAACTCCTGAAAACTATTCAAATCTCATTGGAAAATGATCTTGAAAGGTCCAAATTCTCAAAATATTGAGATAGTCTTGAATGTAGATGTATCTACACGAGCCTGTAGCTGTGTTACATTCTTACTACATTCCTGTATAAAATTCTACACATATTTTACACTCAGTTTACATGGCAAAGAACACAACCAAAAGCAGTGCGTGGATGGCCACAAAGAAAGCAGTTCAGGAACTGCTTGACAGCCGTTGCGCTTAAGACTAAATGTTGCTGGCAGAGTCTTTGTTGCCCAACATTCATCCGTGCTCTGAGATATTTGCATAGATACATCAAAGGAAAACCGAAAATATAATCGAGAAAAATAATAAGAGAATAAAAACTGCGATTAATAGGCGAATAAAAATACCTCCAAACTTTGACACCTTAAATTTTTCCAATCGCAATGGTTACGTTACGAATAAAACAATTTATATTAATTAATTCAATTCGCAAGCCGTCGCTGATGATGATGATGGTGCAT